TGTTTATGGGTTGGTTCCTTCTCATCCATGGCAAACCCATCTCCATTCACTCGCTCCTTCCTTCTCCAGAATCTACCAGCCCTTTCTCAATGGGGTTGATTCAGAGAAAGAGAATGCTGAGCCACTACACAAATAATGTTCTGAGCACATCTCCATCCTAAACCACTGCCTCACTTCACAATTATTTGCTTACATATCTCTTACATATCATGCCATGGACTTCTTAATCCCAAACTGTGCCAAGAGCTAACATTTCTGTTTTCATGGAGTTTAGGATTTAATTAGGGAGCTATAGATGATAACATATATAAAGAAACAAATATGATCAATGGCAATAAATGTTCATAGGTATGGAAAAAAAAAGTTAGGAGAAGGGAGAGAAGATCTAGTAGAAGGGAGAGAAGATCTAGTAATCAGGCAGGAAAGGTGCCTGGTAATGCTGGCAGATGGCATCTGTGGTCTGGTTTAACCCACACCAGAAAGATAGCAGAAAGAAAGCTGGCCTGTATTTTCCACTGTGGGCCCAGGAGGGCTGTGTACTGTTCATGCTGGACCATGTCTGATGGTGCTGGTTTCTACAGGTGTGATCACATTCACCAGGGAGTCCAACCACCTACCACCAGGTAGAGACCAGATGGGGCCTTTCTGGGATACATTAGCCAACACTGTGCAGTAGAACATTGGAAGATTCACAGAAACAGGATGGTTTTGAGGGCTTACACAGGCAGGAGTTTTTTTTTTTTTTTTGTTTTTTAACAGATTCTGGACAAAAGGAAGGAAGTGACTAGAACTCAGGGTCTCGATAGGGCTCAGGGTTGAGAGCTTGCTTGCTGGGCCTTGTGGAGCGATTCTAAGAATCTGCAGGCTGGGCTTCAACGTGGCCGACTGCCCTTGGCAACCGCAAAGTCCCAGTGTGCTAGATTTCCCACACCCTCCTCCCAGCAGCTGGACGGCTTCCCCTTTGTGGCCATTGTAAGAAACGGAAAACAAAACAAAAAGCAGAAAGGCAAACGCAACAGACCAAAACAGGTTTGATGAGGGCTGAAAATCTGGGAAGGGCAACCAAGTCTCTGTCAGAGAGGAGAAGGGAGAGGGTCCCTTTCGATCAAGCAGAAAAAGGTAAAGTCGGGCAGGGAAGATGGAAACGGGGTGAGTTGGAGGTGGGGTAGGAGAGCCATCTTATCTTAAGTAGAGGATTTCAGGGTTTCAACAACAACTGTGTCTGCCGGGAGCATCAGCGCCAGATGGGGCCTTGGTCTCAGGCTCTCTTCCAAGTCCTCTGAGTACAGTTGTTCATGGGGAAGGGGAGTGGAGGTGATCCTGTGGGGTAGGAGCATAGGCAATTCTAAGATGCGGCCGTCAGGGGGGAAGGTGAGTGCTTTCGGATGAACTTACTTTCCCTCAGCCATGCTGCTAGAAGAGAAGGTAAGTGTGGGCCCCGGCTGTCTGCAGAACTTCTAGGCTGATGGACAGACAGGAGTGGAATTCAAGCGAGTCACCAGAATTCACTTCAAGTCGGCTGTCACACGATCAACCTGTTGTTGCAGGGACTGGAAGACTTATTGAGGGTTTGGATCGAAGACCATTTTCTAAGATGTTTCCAGAAAGCACCCTCCCCCAAGCTGTCTCTTTCACTTTTCTTATCCTTCCCTCTTCTCGGCACCACATACCCCTCATCCATCTAGATGGTTCTGTGGTCTGAACCTGTGCTGTGCCCGCGGTTCATGTGCAGCCCTATTTCAGAAGAGAATCAATCCTCTTCATTACGGACTCCTCCTATAATTATTATGGATGCCAAGGTTGTCTGAAGTCCTCTCCATGCCTCGCTTTATGACTTACACACGACTGACAGTAATTGGTCAGTGCCTGTAGGTCATGTGATTTCATATGCATTGTCTCCCATGATGTCATTGTAATGCTGGATGTCACTGTGTCATCTGAAAGCAAGGAAGCTAAGGCTCAGATAAGCTTAACTACTCAGGCACATGCATAGGCCTGTAACTGAAACTGGCAGAATCAGGGTTTGTATTTTGATCCCTTAGCTCCAAGATTTCCTTTTTCTACTCCCTCAAGATTTACTGAGGTCCAGGGTGACCCTGTAAAAGAGTTGAGGTCCAAAGAAGGTAACCTGGCTTGGTCAACTCAAATACTGCAGTTACTAAGCCTCCTGCCCCAAGCTCTTACTGTCACTATCATTCCTAAAACAAAATTGGACCCACCTCTGCTAAGCAATTGTTATTGCCTGAATATAAGTTCTCCTCCTAACCCTGTAGTCATATGTTAGACCTGGTAGTATTAAGGGGAGGGGCCTGTAGGAGGCGAACGGGATTAGTGTTCTTATAAAACAGGAGTAGCAAGAAGGGACATCTAGAGGCTTGGAGTGTAAAAAAGTGCTCCTCTCCTCGATGTGATGGCCTGGGTTTCATCCCCATCCCCAATGGGCATGCACGTCTGTGAGAAACAAACCCTCACCAGATACTGAATCTGCTGGTACCTTGATCGTGGATGTTCCTGTCTCAAGAACAACGAGGAATGTTGGGCTGGGAATGTGGCTTAGTGGTAGAGTGCTTGCCTAGCATGCATGAAGCCCAGTGTTCAATTCTGGAAGTGATGCTATGGCTCAAGTGGTTGAGTGCTAACTTTGTACAAAAGCTCAGGGCCAGTGCCCAGGCCCTGAGTTCAAACCCAGGATTGGCAAAAAAGAAAGAAAGACAGAAAGACAAAAGAAAGAAAGACAGAAAGGAAGAAAGAAAGAAAGAAAGAAAGAAAGGAAGGAAGGAAGGAGGAATGTATTTCAATTGTATGTAAATCATTCAATATAAGATCATTTCTATTTTGAATTCAGGGTCTTAAGCTTGATAGGGATCTCTTAGCCCTGTGTTATCTTGTTTTAGCAGTCAGCGTAGAATAAGATAGTGCTTTTCAAGTGAGTTAGATAACAAGAGAAAAAGTTCAACACAGGAAAACATCCAATAATTTCCTTTTTATTTACCTTGCTTCTCTAGACAAAATAGTAACCCCCCCACAACAATCTTATCTCCTTCTGTTAGTGTAGAAACTTGCTTCTGTGTGTGTATGTGTGTGTGTGTGTATGTGTGTGTGTGTGTGTTGTGTGTCGGTGTCGGTGTCGGTATCAGTGTCTGAATTCCAATACCTCGATAGAACATTTTATCTGCTCCTCTATTGTTGGGTAAACTTACATTTTGGAGTGGGAAAGGATGTTTAGGGAGGATTTAGCCCAACTCCATCACTTCACAGAGAAACTTGATTGGTGCTCTGGTCTTTCCCACAAAGCCTTGGGCCTTCCAGACTCTACCCTGGAGTCTGGGACTCTGAGCCTTTTAACTTTAGCCTTCCATGATAGACACTTAAATGTTTACCTTTTGCCTAAAATGTTGAGTGCATTGGCAGGTGAGGTGTACTTTTAAAATATATAAACTAAGCCGGGCGCTGGTGGCTCACGCCTGTAATCCTAGCTACTCAGGAGGCTGAGATCTGAGGATCGCGGTTCAAAGCCAGCCCGGGCAGGAGAGACCGTGAGACTCCTATCTCCAATAAACCACCAGGAAACCGGAAGTGGCGCTACAGCGCCAAGTGGTAGAGTGCTAGCCTTGAGCTGAAGAGCTGAGGGACAGAGCCCAGGCCCAGAGTTCAGGCCCCACGACCGACAAAAAAATAAATAAATAAAATATATAAACTGGACCTAGGTATTTGCTTATATAAACTGGCTTTGATCTTCCTAGGTAGACAGGCATATACTACCATGCGCAGCACACCATGAGTACCTTGGTAACTTTCTGCCTCTAACCCCGATCCTCCCAGCCTCCATTTCACTAGTAGCTGGGATGATAGGCCTGCATTTGGCTAACCCTCTACCTCATATTATACAACTATTGCATGCTGATCATAGAAAAGATGAGGAAGGGCAGTGACATAAAAACATAGCAGTAAGAATCATTGTGAGAGCCACTGTTAAATTATTTTTTGGTTTCTGCTTTTCTAAACTTGTTCTCATCGACATATGTGTGTATCTTCCCAGAAATAGAATCGTATGCTGCAATCCAATTTGCAATCTGTTCCCCCCCAGCCCCTTATTACGTTGTGAACAGCTTTCCGTGTCAGCATGCTAATGACTGCACATACTCCCACACTGTTGTGTGTAATGGAAGTGTGGAAGCTAGCCCAGCTTTCCCAGGGAACATGTGATCTCCATGGTGAATTGCATCTATGAGCTTCTACTGAACTCCGTAGTGGGAAGTGGGTCTTGAGGAAGTGTGTGTATGTGTGCAGATATGCTTATGGAGCTATGTATGGCTTTGCTTAGAGCCATTATAATGGCTTCAGGTATCTGGTGCTATGAATTTCACATATACTAATTTATTTGCTTCCTATAAATGTCCAAGGTAAGTATCCTTATCAACACTATTTTACAGATGAGCAAGCTGACTCAGACACAGCATGGGACAGAGTCAAGATCTGATCCAGACAATCCAGCCCTAGCCTGGCTTTCTCACCACACTTTCAATAATAGACTATTTATCTACACTCTTAACTCCCTGGGTACATAGATGAGGGAACTTGCAGGAAACAACTCAGTCCTGGAAGCAAACTTCGTTTGACAGATGTGAAGTCCAGCAATATCTTGAACTTCTCATCAAAGTCACGTGGGAGTTCATTGATGACCAAGAATCCTGGGCTCGCCAGCAGCTCAGTCTTGCCTGGTATTAGCAAGCCGGTGTGTAGCAGAGCTGTGCACCCTCCCCTGTGTCTTCTGCTCCTTCTTGTCTTCAGGCCCTGCCATTTCTTTCCACTTTCTCTTGTTCTTCCATGGGGTTGGTATTGGTGTGGATGGTGGATATCAGATTCAGCCAAACAAACACATCTTTCCTGTAGATACCTCTCAGAACAGACCATCTTACCAGACTTCCGCCCAGGAAGGGACTGTAGGGGGCGGGGGAGAGCTGGGGAGAGGGAGGAAGGAAAGGAGGAGGCCAGGGGGGAAGAAAACCTCCATCCTGCCACAACACAGAGCCTCTGATTGTGTTCTGCTTTGATGTGAGTGTCTCTGATTCTCCCTGGTTCTGTTCTGAAGTTTGGGGGTGGGGTAGGGAGGGAAAACAGGAGCCCTTGAGCATAGAGTTCCAGGATGATGCTAAGAAACTCAGGGGAAGGATCGTGGGAGCACACTTGGAGTTTCTCTCCCCTTGCATCTTGGATTGGGCCATTGTTCGGTGTAAAGGGGGGGAGCTTGTGTATTGGGGTTTAAGGGTTCCTTTCCCTGCCCAGAGCATTTTCTTAGAAATGGAGCTTTGCAAAGGAGCGTTCTTCTTAGGAGAGGAACACAAAGGCACAACGTCTCTGTGCACCTGATCAGACAAAATAATACTTATCAGAATGAATGCCAGGAAATGGAAACAAGAGTTTTTTTCTTTATTACTGAGGTTTTTTTTTTTTTTTTGGTCTTGTTTGTTCATTTATCTGTCTTTGGGAGGTGAGAGTGGGGTACAGAAATGGAGGGACGAAGGGTAAACAATGCAGCAGTCTACTCACCAGACACGGTGTTGAACATGAACTATACTACTTGTGGGTGGGGATAGTAGGAAAAAGCTGGGAGACAGCGAGGGAAGGGGTGACATTGCTCAAAGGAAATGTACTCATTACCTGACTTACCTACCTGTAACCCCTCTGTACATCACCTTTACAACAACGTTAACAATTAAAAAACAAGAAGCAGAACTTGGTATGTGACAAAGAAGTCTATCCTCCTAGTAGCTCTGTGAACATCTCTACACACACACACACACACACACACACACACAATCAGGTTCTACTGATTCTAACTTTTGGGACTATTTTGAAGCATGAGGTAAAGAGGAAAAGGAAAAGATAAAAGAGTGAACGGTTTCAAAATACATAGCAGCTGTATGTGGCATAAGGAATCTCAACGAATGTAGTCGATCAATAAGGGTTGGGGGCAGGAAAAGAAAAAAGCAATAGGAATAATTCTGAGCAAAATATAATATATGCATATCTGAAATATGGTGAAAACCTTTGTGCAATGAAAACACTAATATATGTGTGTATCTATATACATATATATGTATATAGATGCATTCATATATATATATATATATATATATATGAATAACAGGAAAGTAAATCTTCTTTGTATAACCAACAAGGGAGGAAATGAGACAAAAATTAATTGGAAAAAAGAGAAAGAAAACCCATGGATATATAAAACACAAGTTGCCTATCAGCAATTATTATTAGACTCAGTAGACATTGCCCTACATGTGGCTACAAACCATTGGGATAGCATTGTACCTCCACATCTGTGTCCCCCAGTCCAGGGCTGCAGACTTAGCGCTGACTCAGCAGATCCATTCTCTGTCATGAAAAGCTTGTTCAGTCAATGAATAAACATTTATTATGTGCCCGTTATGAACTGGGCATAGCGGTGATCCCTATTTTTCTGACTCAAGTGCTTGCTGTGACATGATGATAGTGTATTGTTCCTACATAATTAAATTGCAATCATCGTGTAACTCATTAATTGAATATGATACTTGCTGCAACAGCATTGAAAAGAAAATTTGTCTCAGACTTAGTCTTGGACAGAGCTTTCTTTGTGTGTAATGTCATTTACAACCTCCTTCTGGGAAGAAAACCAGTGCTCCTGAGAAAATGCCAAAGCTGTTTTCTGACAGCCAGTAAGAGGATTAAGCCTTGTTCTGGGAAACTTGTCACCCCAGCAGACTGTCCGACCACAGTCTACTTGATCTTTGACCACACATTCTTTTTTTTTTTCTTTCTGTTCCTCTGGTCTAACAATGACTAGCTGGCCATTTCCTTTTTATTATAAGATGTCTCACGAAGTGCAAACCTTTGAAGTGGATTCCTGCAAGCCCTTCCCCTTGAAAGACAACTGCAGTGCAACGATGCCATATAATGGAACTGAGGCAATGACCAAGCTTGGTAGCACACACCTGTAAGCCCAGCACTAGGGAGGCCAAATCAGGGAGATCTCAAGTCAAAGACCAGCCTGGGCTACATAGAGAGATCTTGTCTCAAAAACAAAACAAAGTAAAAACCACACACGCAACAAAACCAACCAAACAACCAAGAAGGAGGTGGGGGAGGATGGAAGGAGGTGGGGGAGGAGAGAGAGGAGGGGGAGGAGGAGAGGGGAGGGGGAGGGGGAGAAGGGGGAGGAAAAATAGACAGTACTGTTGTCCGTTTAAGCCTTCCCACATAATTTACTGCATGCTTACAATTCTTTATCCAATTCAGCGCAGACGTGAACGACTCCACCTGCCTTCGTATCCAGACGGGCTCCTGTGCCGCATAAACTTGTATTAATTAAGTCTGCCTTTGTGGATTCAGCTGTAGGGCTTTGCTGGGGCCCCGAGGATGCAGGTGGAGGTTCGCACCCTTGCATCTCCTTCCAGTAGAGTCCAGGAGTTACAGGGTATTGCTTTGCCCTATACCCGAGCCTGCTTTGAATCACGGGAGTCCCTGGGAGTAGAGCAGCCCCACTGTGGGGCCCAGGGAAGGGGCTCTGGGGCCCCCCAGGGTGAGGAGGGGGCTGCCTGGTGTGGCTGTCTAGACAGGTCACTGTGGGGTTGGCTCTAACATTTTGCATGCTCTCCTAAGTCAAGGGCAGGGGCCTGAGGCTCACTGGGAGAGGAAGGACTTGGCTTCAGCCCAGGAACTACAGGTGTGATCAAGGAAGCCAGCCATGCTGGCAGCTCTGGGGAGAATGTCCTAGAGCCAGCCCATGTGTTGATTGTGTGGCTGGTACTCAGGTAGGTATCTGCGCTGTGCTTTGAGCTTGGGGTTTGGGTTGTCTGCACACTTGTCACTCAAGGAGGAAAGTAGAGTCCAGGGATCAGAGGCTCAGAGGGGAGGAGATGGGAATGGGTGGTGGGGTGTGGCCCACTGTGTGTTGTGGAGGCCCGATTCTGGCCTCCCCTGGAGGGAGGGAGCAGGAGAAGGCCGGAGAAGAGATAGAACAGAAAGTTGGGCAGATGTGAAGCACCCTGTTCTCCAGGCACCTTCCTGAGGATAAGAAAATGGCTCCAGTTCTGGGTGCACTGGGCCCCACGCGGGCACACAGTGCTTGCTAAGACCAGAGCAGGCTGGGCTTGATTCTCCACAGTGCCTACAGCGTTATTCAGTGAATACACTACATGGCTGTAACCAGTTGTGTGGATGGGGAAAGACTGGTCCCCAATATGTAGAAGACAAGGCCCCCAAGCAAAGAGTTCAAACCTGCCCTTGGTTGTGACCATGTCAGATGGGTGTGAAGGCATCGACTGTTCTAGAAAGCCTTACTCCTATGCAATCATTCTCAGTCATCGAGTGTGATCTTTCCTTTCTCTACGGAGGTGTCCCTCAAACCCCTTTAATGTAGCTCATCTCTCCCTCTCCTCTTCCTCCAAACTTGGATAGTGATCGTGCCCTTGTTATTTCCTGAATTGCTTCCCTCCCCCGCCCAGCAGGAAGAAGCTTCCTTCCTTCAGAGGGAAATTTCTACCTCAAATCTTTCTCTTGCTAATATTCTTCTCCTCCTACAGGAAAACGCTAGTGCCTAATTCAGCTAAAAAAGAAAAGGAAAACAGCAGCTCTTCTGGAAAGAAAAAAAAAGGAGAGAAAACATAAGGTAAGGAAACACAAGAGTAGAGAAAACCTTTTCTAGTTAAAAAATACATTTTTTTTTTGCTTTAATTCTCATTCCCCTCCCCCCTGAGGGAATATCTAAAGTGTTCACCAGATTCTCAAGAGAGTTCATGACCCCAGAATTGTTTAAACAATTTCTATCGAAACACTTATGAAATCCCCTAAGAACAGGGTATAGGAAGTTCAGGGAGGTCTTATTAAATTTGTCTTATTCCACTGTCTGGGCTGTAGCAGGTTATTTCATTTCTTTTAAAAGCAGGAACATGACCATTGTTGTTTGTTTTTGAGTCTGGCTCAGATGCTCCCTAGAGTCCGATTCTCTTATTGCCAATTAGCAGGTGCCCCATTCTTCAGCCTGCCACCCTCCAAATTACTCTCTTCGTGTCAGCAAAGTTGTAATCCTAAAGCTGCCTTCACCTTGTCTTCCCCAGCTCCAAGTGCCTTCCTCATTAGGAGTGAACGCCCCACCTCCACCTGTCTGACTCCCAGTGCTGTGTTCTCCAGGCAGCCAGGCTGGTCAGTGCCCACACACGGGCACCATGACTATCTGCCCGCAGGCTGTCACTCATCATATCCTTATCTTTCTTTGGTTCTCCAGACCCATCTTACAATTTAAGAGCAGCTCTTTTGAACAAAGCACCCTGCCTCTGTGCCCAGGAAGCCCCATTTCCCTCACCACAGACCCAGCGCTGTGCACTCTAATTCTACTCTGCCATGTCTACCTCTTCCACTGGTGTGTGTTTTCTGAGCACTGGGCTGAGCTTCATGGTATCTGCCTGATGAGGCCAATAGTGCCTGGAACCTACCACAGAGAGCCCTCTGTATCTGAGGATTATGTGTGTGTGTGTTTGTGTGTGTGTGTGTTGTGAACAATTACAAAATTCAGAAAATATATATCCCTGTGCTGTGCATGTTCAGACTTCTTTCTTCTTCTCTAAACAATACACCATAGCAACCACTTACATAGCACTTACAATGCATTCTGCATGGTCTCAAGATAATGTAAAGTATATGGAGGAGGGAGGAGCACAGGTTCTATGTAGACCCTAGTAGTTTATAAAAGGGACCTGAGCAGTCCCAGGTCCTGATATCCATAGGCTGAAGTCCAAGCCCACCAATACCAAGGGCAACAGTTTGTGCTTTGTTTATGTTAATAAAGCTTCTCTGACAGCGCAGTGCATCTTGATCCTGCTTGTCCCCTCAGTTCCATCCTATTTATTGTTTCTACCAGGGACTGATGGTCAAATTACTGAAAAGTTCATTTTTTTTTTCTTTTTTCTTTTTTTTGGGTCTGGTCGTGGGGCCTGAACTCTGGGCCTGGGCGCTGTCCCTCAGCTCTTCAGCTCAAGGCTAGCGCTCTACCACTTGAGCCACAGTGCCACTTCCGGCTTTTTTCTTTTTGCTTATGTGGTGCTGAGGAATCGAACCCAGGGCCTCGAGCATGCAAGGCAAGCGCTCTACCACTGAGCCACCTTCCCAGCCCCTTTTCTTTTTTCTTTTTGTCAGTCATGGGGTTTAAATTCAAGGCCTGGGTGCTGTCCCTGAGAACTTTTGCTCAGTCTACCACTTTGAGCCACAGCGCCACTTCAGGTTTTCTGGTGGTTAATTAGAAATAAGAGTCTCATGCACTTTTTTTCCTGGGCTGGATTTGGACTGCAGTCCTCAGATCTCAGCCTCCTGAGTAGCTAGGATTACAGGCGTGAGCCACTGGCACCTGGCATGGACGTTCTTATAAAATACAAATGCTCAGAGCGTCATCCTAGCTCCAGAAAGCTAATGCCCCAAATCTGTTTCCACAAAGTTCCCAGGTGAGTGATCTGGTAATCCAGTGTGCTTTAGTTCTTCACTTCTCAAGTCTTTGAAAAGTTGGAATGATTTTTGTCGATGTGAATTATAACTATTAATATGAACTTACATTCAAACTGTGCCCAATGTATTATAAAATATTTATGTAGAACTGGGTGCCGGTGGTTTACACCTGTAATCCTAACTACTCAGGAGACGGAGATCTGAGAATTGCAGTTCAAAGCCAGCCCGGGGAGGAAAGTCCATGAGACTCTTATTTCCAACTAACCACCAGAAAACCTGAAGCGGCGCTATGGTTCAAGTGGTAGAGTGCTAGACTTGAGTTGGAGAGCTGAGGGACAGCGCCCAGGCCCAGAGTTAAACCCCATCAACAACAAAAAAATAAAATAAATTATGTATTAGCGCATTTACAGTAACCATAAACCTATCAGGTGTTAGCATAAACAACACATTCTTCAATAAAAATAACTATACTATCCTTAAGCAAAAAAATGTTTTTAGAAAAGAGCAATGTGGGGTTGGAGGTGTGTCTCAGTTGGTAGAGCACTACTAGCCAGTGAGCAAAACCAGCAGGTATTGAATTTGAATTCTAGTCTTATGCTGAAAAAGAAAAGAACAGCACAATTGTTTATATTTTTTGCCAGTAGCTTTAATGTCTAACTTAATAGATAGATAGATTTCATATCTGCTTCTGCATTCGGCCTGGTGTAATTTATAATTTGTGTGTTAAGTGAAGTAGTTAGAGAAAATTGAGATCATACTAATGTGCGGTTAGAACAAAGAAAAGGATAATTCTTAGATAAGTGTAGATATTTCTTTTTAATATTCCAAAATCTGATAGGAGTTTTTGAAGGGTCACTTGCAATGTGAAATATTAAACAACAAAAGTAAACTATTTGAGCTGTGTATACTGTGCTGTAGGAAAGTAACATAAATGAAGAAGGCCTTAGTACTATTACAAATATTGTGTGTGTGTGTGTGTGTTTGGGGTCCAGTCATGGGGCCTGAACTCTGAGCCTGGGCACTGTCCCTCAGCTCTTCAGCTCAAGGCTAGTGCTCTACCACTTGAGCCACAGCGCCACTTCTGGCTTTTTTCTTTTTGCTTATGTGGTGCTGAGGAATTGAACCCAGGGCCTCAGGCATGCAAGGCAAGCGCTCTACCACTGAGCCACCTTCCCAGCCCCTGTGTGTGTGTTTTGAACTCAGGGCCTGGATGTTGTCCTGATCTTTTTGGCTCAAGACTAGCATTCTACTACTTTAGCCACAGCCCAGCTTCTGGCTTTTTTGGAAGTTTATTGGAGACAATAGTCTTTTGGACTTTCCTGCCTGGGCTGACTTTGAACCATGATCTTCAGATCTCAGCCTTCTGAGATTACAGCTAAGATTACAGCTGTGCGTCTGCTGAAAGAGTCCTGGAGAGAGCCAGGGGTTATCTTTGATTGATAGAAAGGATAGGAAATAATTCGTTTTAATATTTTCTATTTTATTGTAAAGATGCTCTGCAGAGGGGTTACAGTTACATGAATGAGGTAAAGAGTACATTTCTTGTCGAACATTGTTACCCACTCCTTTGTTTTTCTCCTACTCTCCCTTCCCTTCACCACTCCTCCCCTTCTCCCCTAAAGTTGTAAAGTTCATTTCCAACATAATGTCTTGCGATTATCATTGTTGCAATGGGTCATCCTTTGTCCTTGTTTTAGCATTTCGTTATTCCCTCTCCCGTCAGATAAATGTATATACAAGACACAGAGTACCAGAAACAAAAACAGTGGTTGCCAGGGATAAACCAATGGAAAAAGAAAAATGAAATAAAATAAGAAGAAAGAACTAGATACAGTACATTGGTGACAAAAAAAGACCTATTGTTTCCATGTCTTGGAGTTCATTTCAATTAGCATCATTTTGTATGGTCATATGTGCATAGCTATGAGCTATTGTGATTTTCTGCCAGGACCATCCTAGGCAGATACTAATCATTGCAAATGAAGGAATACAGCCTATGTTTCTTTGGGTCTGGCTTACTTCACTTAAAGCAATATAGAGGTTCCTAAAAAGACTAAATATAGAACTGCCCTATGATCCCGCAATCCCACTCCTGGGCATTTATCTAAATGATCACAAGCAAGGCTAGACTAAAGCTAGCAGCACAACTATGTTCATTGCAGCATTATTTACCATAGCTAAGATATATGGAACTAAATTCTCAATAGATGAATGGATCAAGAAAATCTCTCTCTCTCTCTCTCTCTCACACACACACACACACACACACACACACACACACACACGAATTTCATGCTTCTACCAGAAAGAATGACATCATCCCCTTTCATAAGGAAAAAGAAATAATTTTTAAAGTGGGAAAGAACTTAATGTAGATTTGCTGAACATCTGCCAGAGCAATGGTAGGGATGACATATAGATTTAGCTAGTGAGTGTCAAAATCTGGGATTTAAATCCTGGCAGTAGAGCTCTGGAATGTATGTCGTAAACCACTAGGCTATTTTACTAAACCTGACTCAATTCTTAATGACTTCTTACAGTTATGTGTTCTTCTCCCCCCCCCTCCCCCGCTTTAAGAAAAAAACCCTAAGGCTGAGGGGTTAAAGCAGCTCAAACTGAAGTATCTCTAGGGGTTGGGTGAGTATAGGTGTTAGGAAAATGGAGGAAAAAGAAAAAAGGCTGGGCTCATTCTTCAGCAAGCTAGGGCTGTTTATTGAGGCATGGTGAGGGGCATAACCTTCCCACAGGAATGGAAGTCAGGCAAGGAGGTGGATTTGGGGTCTGGCTTAGATGGGTCTTAACAAGGAAACAAAGGGGTGAAAACAAGGCTGTAGTTACTCAGAGGCTAGGGGCGGGTACTCTCAGCTAGGTCCAGAATGGAATGTCCTGCCTAGGGTGACGAGGACTTTCAGCCAGGCCTAGGTTGGAGTGACCTGCTTGTGGTCAAGCAGGTTGGTGCGCACTTGGTGTCTTGCTTGTCCTGGGAAAATAAGGCGAGGGTCAGTCTGACCTGGGGATTTAAAGTGAGAGTCAGCCTTTCATATCCCATCTTTTTTTCTTCTTCTAGATATGTAAAGATTGGGACAGGAGGGGGAATGGTAAGTCCTTCAATAAGGATTACTGTTAGAAGACCTTCCCTCTCCCCCACATTTCCAATTTTCTAAGACTTTATCTAGTTCTCTCAATATCTGCTGGCATCCAAGTCTTCATCATGATAGATATTATAGCACTCCTAACCAGTCTGTGAGACTTATCTCCAATTAACCACCAGAAAACTGCAAGTGGAGCTGTGGCTCAAGTGGAAGAGCTCTCACCTGGTGCTGAATTGCTGAGAGACAACACCCCAGGCCCAGAGTTCAAGACCCATGACTGACAAAAAAAAAAAAAAAAAGATAAGATAACTCAGCTACTATGACAGAAAGACAAAACAGTGGCAGGAACATTGGTTGTGGCAAAATCCACACATCACCTCAAGGACCATTCAGGTGTATCAGCTAGCTATTTGTAGGTAACAAACAACCCAGTAACTCTGTAGCTTAAAACAAGAAGCATTCATGCCACATTTGTGGCTCACATCTGTAATCCTAGCTACTCAGGAGGCTGAGATCTGAGGATCATGGATTGAAGTCAGCCTGGGTAAGATGGTTTGTGGGACTCTTATCTCCAATTAACCAGCCAAAAGCAGAAGTGGAACTGTGGCTCAAGTGGTCCAGCCTTGAGCAAAAACATAAGGGACAACACCTAGGCCCTCAGGTACCAATAAATAAATCCATAAACTATTATTAACAGTCTGTGGATCTGGTAGATGTTTCTAATGTTAATTGGATGTATTCAAGCACTTGGTAATCAACAGATACATTAGCTTCCAGTTGGCTTTGCTGGTTTAGCTCAGCTCCTTAATATGTCTTGGGTCTTGACTTGGACGATGGTGACTCCTTGTCTTGTTTGCTATGGCCTCTCACCCCCCCAGCAGGATAGCACAGCCTTACTCATGTGATATCTTGGGAGGGTTCCTGAAAAGAGAAAGTGTAACAAGCCCTCATGGGTTCAAATCCAGAGCTGGCACATAGTCATTTCTGTCAGGTTCTATTGACCAAGGCAGGTCAGAGGGCAAACCTGGAGATCAAGAGGGGAAAAACAAATACCAACTCCTCATAGAAGAATTGTAGAGTGACTTTACAAAATGTGTGGACATTGGGAGGGGTAAAGAATTGAGGCCATTTGGACTTTAATCTATTACACCTAATCTTTCAAGTTTTCAGGAGACAGAAACCTAGATTTCTATTTGGAATCTTTAGAGATGTAAATGTAAGCTAGTTCACAAGCTTTTTAAATGAATAAATCTCTATTTTGTTTTTATTATAATGCCATCAGTACTAGAAAGCACTAGAATGAGAAAGCACAAAAGAATAATCATAATCTTTAATGCTACCTCCCAGAAAAAATATTTCATTTTTAATTTTTCTTTATATAAATGGAGTGTACAAAGGGGTTTCAATGGAATATTTCCATATACTCCTATATTTTACTTTGATTAAAGTCGTCTCTCTATTATATTTTCTTGTCTTCCTTCTGCTGGGGATTGAACTCAGAGCCTCAAAAAATATTTGCTAGGCAGATACTCTGTCACTTGAGTCACACCTTCAGCCCCTTATTGCATTGGTTATTTTCAAAGTAGGGTCTTGCTTTTTGCTAGGCCAGCCTCGGTTGCAAAACTTCTCTTTCCCTGGGTGGCTGAGACTAAAGGGCATGCACCCAGCCATTGGTTGAGATGGAATTTTATGAACTTTCATGTCTAGATTGTTGTGACTAGCACTGCTATAAACATGGGTCACCTGTCTCCATTTCATGCTGACTTATACGTCTTAGACTGATACAGTGAGATCATATTATTATATCATATATTTTGTCGTATGTATTAATTACATACGCAATTTTTAGTTTTTTGAAGCACCTCCATATTGATTTCCATAGTAGCTACAGCGATTTATTCTTCTACCAAGGGTTTCTTAATGATGACCATTCTGATTGGGGTGAGAGGATCTCAGTGTTGTTTTGATTGGCATTTCTTTTATGGCTAAGTATATTGAACATTTCTTCATGTCTATGTCTATGTTTCAAGTGTTTTCTCTGTGATTTTGTGTACCGCTTTATAAGTTTGAAATCTTTTTTTTTTGGTAGGTTGTGGGGCTTGAACTCTGGGCTTGGACGCTGTCCCTGCGCTCTTCAGCTCAAGGTGAATGCTCTACCGCTTGAGCCACTTCTGGTTTTCTATGGTTTATTGGAGATAAGAGTCTCACAGACTTTCCTGCCTGGGCTGGCTTTGAACCCCGATCCTCAGATCTCAGCCTCCTAAATAGCTAGGATTATAGGCGTGAGCCACTGGCGCCCGGCCTAAGTTTGAAATCTTATTCAAAGATTTTTCATTTATTTTTTGGTTGTGGGGCTTGAACTCAGGATCTGGGCACACTGTCCCTGAGCTTTTTGCTCAAGGCTAGTGTTCTACTAGTTTGAGCCACACTACCACTCCCAGTTTTCTGGTGGCTAATTGGAGATTAGAGTCTCACAGACTTTCTTACTAAGCCTGGCTTCTGATCTTGATCCATAGACATCAACCTCCTGAGTAGCTAAGATTACAAGGGTAAGCCGCCAACATCTGGCTTATACTAAGATTTTTGATCCATTCTATACAGGATAATCTTTATACAGGGAGAGATAAGGATATAGTTTTCAAGTATTTCATTTGTTTGTTTGTTTGTCTGTTTTTGGGGTCCGGTCGTGGGGCCTGAACTCTGGGCCTGGGCCCTGTCCCTCAGCTCTTCAGCTCAAGGCTAGTGCTCTACCACTTGAGCCATAGTGCCACTTCCAGCTTTTTTCTTTCTTGCTTATGTGGTGCTCAGGAATCGAACCCAGGGCCTCAGGCATGCAAGGCATGCACTCTACCACTGAGCTATCTTCCCAGCCCCTTCATTTGGTTTTTTTTTGTGTATATATTTACCAAGAAAATTGGTTTTTAAATTCTTTTGTTTTTGTGTCCTTACCCAGTTTTGGTATCAAGGTAAGATGGACCTTAGAGATTGAGCATTGTTTCTCTTTCTCTTTTTATGCCTTAGTTTGAGGTGCTTTAAAGTTAGCTTTTCCTTAAAAGTCTGGTGAGATTTGGTCGTCAGTCCATCTGGCCCTGAGTGTGTCTTTGTTGGGAAACTATTACTACTACAACCTCATTTGTAACTATCAATCTGTTTAAATGGTTAATGTCTTCTTGGGTCAATTTAGATACATCATATGCATCTAGAAATTTGTTTCTTCTGAATTTTCCAGTTCATTAGAATATAACTTTTGAAATTTAATTTGTAATTGTTATTATAAAGGTAATGTACGCAGGGGTTACAGTTACATAAATCAGATAATAAGTGCATTTCTTTTTGGACACTGTTATCCCTTCCCCAACAATTGCAGTTTTTCCCTCCCATCCCCACCCACAAGTTGTATAGTTCATTTTCTACATAGTGTCTAGTGTGTATAACTGCTGCATTTCTTTTTTTTTTTTTTGGTCATGGGACTTGAACTCTGGGCCTGGGCTCTGTTCAGCTCTTCAGCTCAAGGTTAGCGCTCCATCGCTAGAGCCACAGAGCCACTTCCAGTTCTCTGATGGTTTATTGAAGATAAGATGCTCACGGACTTCCTGCCTGGACTGACTTTGAACTTCGATCCTCAGATCTCAGCCTCCTGAGTAGCTAGGATCACAGGCGAAAGCCACTGACGTGGGCTGATGTTTTCTTTTTCTTTCTTTCTTTTTTTTAAAGTTTCTATCCCATTTCTTCTTGCCCTTTATTATTTCTTTCTTCCTACTTTTTTGAGGTTTGACTTGTTCTTGTCCTTCTAAGAGCCTGAAGGTTATTTCAAATTTCTTGAGTGTGTTAAGACTTGCTTTATGTCCTAAAATATGATCTCTTTGGGGGCTAAGTTCCGTGGGCTGCTGAGAATATGTATTCTTCAGCTGCTGAGTGTAATATTCTGTAATTGTCAGCTAAATCAATTTGATCTATAGAGTTTAATTCTGAAGTGTCTATATTGATTTTTTTGTCTGGATGACATATCTCTTAATGAGAATAGGATATTGGCTCATATACTGTATTATTCATTTGGGGTTTATCTGTGCTTTTATGTCCTATAGTGTTTATTAAATTTGGTGTGTTGATGTTCAGTGTGTATGTTTACAATTGTGTACTTTCTTGATGGCTTGTCTTTTCTGCTTAATTTCAAAGTATACTTTGTTAGTATCACTATTCCTGTTTGTTTTCAGATTCCAATTCTTTGGAAATCTTTTCATTTCACCTTAAGCCTATGTTTATCTTTGAAAGTGAGCCAGTGAGGTGTGTTTCTTCTAGACAACAAACGATTCAATCTTTTTCTGTGTTTGTGCTGGTCCTAGAGCTAGAACTTAGGACCTTGGTGTTGTCTCTGAGCTTTTTGCCCAAGGCTAGTACCCTACCAATTGAGCCACAGTTCTACATTCAACTTTTTGGTCTTTAGAGATTAGAGTCTCATGGACTTTCCTGCCCAGACTGGCTTAAAACTGTGATTCTTAGATTTCAACCTCTTGAGTAGCTAGGATTATAAATGCGAGTGCAGTGCCCAGTAAGAATTTAATTTTTTAATCCAATCTATCAATCTCTGTCTTTTGCATAAAGAATTGAGACCATTAACATTCACAATTATTGAAATGTATATTGTAATTTCTATCTTTTTTGTTTTTGTAATGTTTATTTCTGAATACTCAGTTTGTCTATTTATCAAGTGAGATTTATTGTTTCCTGTATTTTCTTGGTTGTGCTTATCTTCTCTTGGGAAGATTCTTTTCTAGTCTTGTCTGTAGATTATCTTAAAAACCTTTCTGTATTGAGCTTAGTGAAGAGAGTGAGACAAGATATTCCCTTCACGCCAGGTACCAGTAGCTCAAGCCTACAATCCTAGCTACTCAGGAAGCTGAAATCTGAGGATCATAGGTCAAAGCCAGCCCAGGCAGGAAAGTCTCTGAGATACTTATCTCCAATAACAACCAAAAAGCTAGAAATGGAGCTTTGGCTCAGGCGAG